CACACACACACACACACACACACACACACACACACACACAGACGCGTACGCCTACTAGCATGGTAACCAATCAATAATGGGGATAGGGGTGTGGGTCTGACACAAGCACAGTCGTCGCCCCCGAGCTGCAACCGGAGTTTGCTTCATGGTGGTTATTCAGACATCGCTGGGACCCTTGAAAAGCACATGAGCCTAGCAGCTCCGATGAAGTCAATAAAAACAGCTAGGAGTAATAATCAGACAACTTGAAATGATTCTTAGACAACTTAAATTGATAGCCGGACATCTTGAAACGACATTCGGACAAATTGAATTGCAAAGGTGTAATCAGCCATACACTGGGAATGACTATTTAGGAATAAGACATTTGACTATACAATACTGGATAAATTTAGTCACACCCAGTGTGAGCTGGTTGACATATTCGGAACATACACGCCGGAGTTCAAAGCCCGGAAAGGACTTTGGATATATACCATTGATAAGCCTTGATAAGATCGAAACTCGAATCTACGGATTCCCGAACGTACGGTTGGATGAAGTGAGTGAAACTGGAATCTGAAGAATGGTTAACCCAACTCAGTGAGAAATGTACCAACTTAAATACCCTTATCTTCTATGTATACTACTGACCGGGGAGGATAGACTCCAAATATTTCATTTTTGCACTCTGTAAATCAAAAGTCGAAAAAGGGTGGCTGTTGAGGTTCAACTTGAGCAGGGTGACATTTAGGTGTATCGATTGCTCGACACAACGAGTGGGGAACGGAGGAACGAGTATCTATGACATACCCTGTCGTTCGCTCCAACTTGACTGGGTAATTGTGAGAACTGGGGCAATTTGCTCAATTCGACCAGATTAAGCCACGTCATATCCTGAATCCATTTCTTTGGTTTCGGTGCTACGGCATTCAAATCCAATGCTGCTCCACCTGAAATGTGAAATAGACAAACGGTCGTTTGGAGTGGGATAAAATGCCGTCCTGCACAAACAGCTGGGTCTAACAATTGATGAGGTCTTATTTATCTATCACATCAAGACCGCAAGTAGACTCGTCACAGGATGTTATGCGGTGACGCAGGACAAACCGTCCAATGACACACAACGAACGAACAAACATTCCAAAGTGGTTGGTGAAGTCGACGACGTAACTCACACTCGATAGTCAGGCGATCACCCGGAATCCAAGGTAATCTTCTGCGAAACACGTCATGACAATCAAACACTTCATTTCCTTTTTCATACCCTGTTTACGTAACTGCACTGAAAAACTGTTAGCAATCAGTGAGGCAGTGTCAATCCGATTACACAATCTCATTTTGGGCACCCAAAATGTATTGACCCAATCAGCTCACTTGCCGTGAAGTTGACCTTTAGTTCTTAATTTTAATATTCCCTGTCTGTCTGTACAACTCTGTTCAGTGGAATTAACCAATCCAATGTGCTATTTGCTATGTGTCTGTTTGTTTGACGTCAACGATTGGGCGGATAGAACGAAATGTTAGCATCTCGCGGTATGTCTCCTTTCGAGCTTGATGTAATGTAAAAGTACCCCCTGTTCTGGGAGACGGATTCCGTCGTCCCGGACTTTTGTCAAAATGCCCCGAATGATCTGCTAAGCAAGTTCTATCCTTCACCTCGAGGAGGATCTATTCTTCCCTGAGACGTGAGATTGAATAGCCAAATTTTGGGGTATATGATAGAGTTTCTGATTCACTGGAAGCCGACTTATCTAATACAATTCGAAAGTTACGATTTTAAACTACTCACGATGAGGTATATGAAGTAGCCTCATAACTACTAGACAAACTGGTGCTGGCTCAATTGAAAGATAGAGTGCACTGAGCAAAATAGACGTGAGAAGCCTGTCCAGAAGATGAATGGTTTGAGCCACAAACGGATCGCGGGCACCGTCTCATTCGCAGCCATGTGAGTTAAACTATTTTGTCCTTTTCTTCGGCGCTCTCGTATTTTCCATTCACGATGAACCTAAACGATGTGCGACCCGATAAATACAGCACTGTTCTCCATTAGTCAACACTTTCCTTGGTGCTTCCGACAAATACCTGTGCCCTGATTGCAATTGTCCATTGACTGGAATTGTTAGGAAAGGTACCATGTGACAAGATTAGTTGATAGACTTGCAGATCCAACATTTTACTATAACAATAATTGGTTTTTCGTCCCGGATGATCAGCATCCAAGAGCATGCATTAGTCGTGATACACGAGTGGTGGATCAGGAAAGGTCACGAATATCTTAATCGTATCGGGTATACCGTGCAAAGCAATGCGACCGTTCATGACTACGGATTCCAAACGTATTAATAGGCTTGTACTCTAAAGTAACTCCAGCTAGATCAAATGGGTAGTACTGAAGGACACAATAGACCATTTTTTACCACTCACCTTTAATCATTATCTGAAATTCCTCTTTCTTCACGTCACCCGTGTGCATGGCAATTTTCAGCGTCAAAAGCATAGTGAATGTGAATTTATCGACCTCATAGAATCCGCGAGCTGTGTAGCAATACACTGCGTAAGTCAAATAATCAATAATATTCACAATGCGCTTCTGAGTGACAGGGGACTTGGTGGAACGAGCCATTGACAAGTCGAACAGGCCGAGAAATTGTCGGAGTGAGGTCTGATACATCACATTCACCATGCTCATCTCGACCACCAGGAAATAGAGCAATGAGCCTCGAGCAGCTACCGGTCGATACTCTTCCCGGGCCGTGTTGATCATCACCTCAGTCTCAGCGGCCACGGTCAGTTTTTCGCGTACACCCTCCGAGGTGGTTTTGGTCACACTAAGCATCTCAATCAAGGACTCGTCCTCGACCAGGCTGCCCTCGGTTGTTGTCAGACGGTAGAGCAGATTGTCTTCCAATTCTTTCATTTTCCTTCGGTTCGCTGCAACCTCCTCCATCAGTTTGGTCCGTTCGGTTTCTAATTCCTGATTGGCAAAAAATGGTCCATTAAAAAACAAATT